ACCCTCAAGCAGATCAACACTGCCGCCCAGCTCAGTGTCATCATTTGAAGGAGCCAGCCTTTTGGGTGCTGAACTCCAAGCAGCTTACCAACATTAGCTGGTCCTTTTCCACGTTCGTTTTGTGCTCCCGGCATTGCTGAGAAACTCACGTTGTAATTTGGCTTGTTCTGGGGAGAGGCATGAGGCATGCTTGGCTGGGCTTTGGCTTGTGTCTGCTGCCAGCCATAGCCACCTCCTTGCTGCCAACCGCTGCCGCCCATGGGCTGGGGAGAGGGTTTCTGCGGCGAGGGGGGGAATCCACCACCCATGCCAGTTGGCGTGGTGGGTTTACTGGCAAACGAAGGGCCACCTGCAGAGAAGGGGAAAGGAGTGATGGTGGGCATTAGCCAACAGGTTACTGACCTCCCTTCCAACAAAGGAACCTAAACAAAATTCCCCAGGCAGCTGGCTTCTATTTTTAGCATCGTCACAAATTTTTTCTTACAACATCAAGCAAAGTCCTTCGACTTTCCCATCACTGCTCTGTAAGCTGCTTAAAGGACAGCACCTGCCTTTGAAGATTGCACAGGAACTGGAGTAGCAGCTCGTTGGGGAAACACAGGGAAAGCTACATCCAGCTGACTGGGAACCACAGCTGCTGTGTGTTCTGGTGGCAACATCAAGTTGACATACGTTGAAATAATATTTCCTTACGCTGTGCTGATGGAACACTATCGCACACAGTCGTGGGTTTCAGCACCTTTAGGGGATGCTCCTCTGGCTAAGTTAGTGGTGGGAGGAATGCAGTGCTGATGTTTGATTATTTGAGACTAACATCCACGCTCAACTTGGAGCTCTGAAACGTGTCATGGAAACTGGATCGAGTGCTTTTGACTTCGTTATGAGCAACAAAAAAATGTGGTTAAATATCCTGTGGATGCCAAGTCATTTGTTTTTAAACTCCAGAACTTTGCTACAAAATGCATATTTCAAAAGCACCTCCATGGCTCTGACATGAGTCTTGGCATAGTTTTTATTTTGCTCCTGCAGAGCAGCTAGTGATCCAGCAGAGGGAACTGGGAAACCTAATTCCAGAACCATGCTGGTACTGACGCAAAGGAGAAAACAAACATCAGATAAAACCACAATGGCTTGGGAAGAGCTGAGGGCAGTGACAAAGGGAAGAAAAAAAATAAAAATAATTTAAAAAAATCTATTTACCAGAGTTAGAGAAGCCAACATGCTGGGTTTTAAGGAAAAAACTTATATAATTTGTCAGAACTGCCCTTTCAACACTGGGGTCAAGGGTTTGCTGTTCATTTTCCCAGATAAAACAAGAAGAAAATGCTTGTCTAAGCAGTCGAGCAAACAGCCCTTTGCAGCCAGGTGCAAATGAAAATAGGTTCAGGCTCCACCTTTAGATAGTCCTGAGAATTACATTAGTGAGGCTCCACAGGTTTCCTCACAAAAGACAGAAATGAGTCAAGTCTAGAAGGAAACAATTCCTCAAGGACCTCAGTAGCTTTGGAGAGCCAAAGTCTCCTCCCAGGCACTGCTCCAAGGTCTGTAGCAACAGTTCTGCCATCAGAGAGAGCATCCTTAGCCAGACACTGTTTAGACTTAGGAGATAGAAGTTATGCTTTGCAATCCATACAGCCTACAAGGTCCCAACAAGCTGTTAGCAATTCTTTGTGGGTTTTTTGTTTGTTTTTATGAAGGGTCAGTAAAAGCACAGATTTGTGAGAATTTCCAGAGAATCAGGCAGGAGGGAAAACTTGAAAGCAGCACTGGCACGCAGACAGGACCCATAGAGCTCTGTCACATACCAGGCTGCTCATCCTATTTCTCTAAAACAGAACAAGCTGGCAATTGTTTTATTTTTGTTTTTAAATAAAGGATACAAACCTGCTAAACTTGCTCCAAGAGTCCCCAGATCAGCAAATGGATCCAGTGTTTGGGGTTTAGGCTGATGAGTGGGAGTGCTATGGAGGGATCCCGTAGGACTGGTGGCAGCTGATTTACTTCCCATACCTAGGCCACCTTAAAGCAAAAAAAAAAAAAGATATCAAACAAACAAAAACACTCAGTTTTTATCCCTATTTTATAGGGGTGCAGCTCTTACCCAGTACTCAAATCACTTGTTAGAGGACTGCTGGTAAAATTGTGTCCTATTGAGAGGTTCCTGAGCATTCTCAACTCAGCATTGGCCCAGACTAGTTGCCCACCTACTCACAATTAAGCTTAGTGACAAAAATATTCCCTAGACTTTCTGTGCTGATAGAATACTTTTGACAAATGGATATATTTTAAGAACTAGAAGCCTTCAGGAAGCAACTTTTGGTAGGACATACGTACTCTCTCAAGATTAGAGAGAATCATGCTATTATTTAGTTGCATCCCAGGAATGTATTGCACTTCCCAGGTCCTTCTCTTAGCTCTACAGTGGAATGAAACACAACTATGTACATACACCCTTCACTGAGTACCTGTCCCACTTCAGGCCCTGGTTTCTTGAAGAAGGGCCTGATTTTTGAACAGAGAGTTTGGTCATGTCTAGCCAGGTCCTCACTTGGATGACTGGGAGACCAGAACAACGGGCAGCACACGTGCTGCCATTGAGAGGAGATTTAACTAAAATCTTGAGTGAAGTTTTGTTGTATTAGTCCAAGTGCAAAGCAGCAGAAAATGGGAACCCGTTCTCCACGGTCACAGGTAGCATCTTGCATCTGCTTCTCCTCTCTCGGGGCTCCTCATAGGTTTTTTTTGATAAGTGTCCTGAATTTTTATAATACATACCTGGTTTGTTGGGCCAGTCCCAACCACCGGAAACATCTGGTTGTATGGAAACTGTTGGTGTGCTAGAAGCTAAGCAGAATGATTACATATAAATATCTCAAAGTAACAGAGCAAAACCAACATAATCCAGCATCTAGGAAGGGTAGGGAGCAAGGAGCAGGAGAGACAGTATTGTGTCTGCCTACCATTTGCTCATTAGAGGTGAACTCCCCCATGAGCAGCATTACAAATTTAATGTTTATTTCTGATCTTACACTATACACAGGTAAGGAGGGAATCATAGAATGTTGTGAGCCGGAAGGGACCCACAAGGATCATCCAGTCCAACTCCTGTCCCTGCACAGGACAATCCCAACATTCACACCATGTCCCTGAGGGCACATGTTGGCCAAATGCTGCTGGAATCTTGTCAGGCTTGGTGCCATCAGCACCTCCCTGGGGAGCCTGTTCCAGTGCTCCACCACCCTCTGGGTGCCTGAAGAACCTTTTCCTCATGGCCAACCTCACCCTCCCCTGCCACATCTTCCTGCCATTTCCTCTGCTCCTGGCGTTGGTCACCAAGGAGAGGTAACCAACACAGATTGACAGCGTTCATTTTCTGGTGGCTTTGATCAGAGACTTTATATACTCCACATCTTCCTGCCATTTCCTCTGCTCCTGGCGTTGGTCATCAGGGAGAGGTAACCAACACAGATTGACAGTGTTCATTTTCTGGTGGCTTTGATCAGAGGCTTTATATAGTTATTTATAAAAAAGACCTTACCACCAGAATAACACATGGGGTTTAGTGTTTCTGAATGCATCTCAACCCAAAGAAATATTCCACACGCAAAGGGGCACTGCCATTTCCTCTGCTCCTGGCGTTGGTCATCAGGGAGAGGTAACCAACACAGATTGACAGTGTTCATTTTCTGGTGGCTTTGATCAGAGGCTTTATATAGTTATTTATAAAAAAGACCTTACCACCAGAATAACACATGGGGTTTAGTGTTTCTGAATGCATCTCAACCCAAAGAAATATTCCACACGCAAAGGGGCAAGAATGGAGAAAACAAATACAGCACAAGAGCCCGCAGAGATGTAAACCAGAAAGAACACACACGGTCCTTCCTTTAACCCTGTATCCAACGAAGCCTGTACGGCTGTGTGCCTCACCCTGCCAGTGGGTCGTTACCCCTACACACTAGCACTGTAATGTAATGTAACACCTCATCATGCTGGGATACCATTTAAATTCATCTCATTAATGCTGCCAGCTCCAAGTATGACCCAAATGGTTTATTCACAGAGTTACTATCCACTACCCGAGTTCGGCAAAGCAAGGATGGGAGCGGTGCCAGCAGCACACTAGTTCCCTCCTGGGTCATTTTGGCTTTTCAGCCAGACTGTTGCACCCAAGGGATGTGTGTTTGATGATCAGACACAAATGAATTCCCATCTGAATGTGTTTAAATTAAGTTTTGGTGTGGAGGGAGAAGGGGACAACTAAGGGACATTTCAAACAAAGTTAGAGAAGAAAAGAGTCCAACAAAGAAAAAAAAAAAACAATTTTCAAATAAGAATCAAATTCAACTGTGAATTTGGCCAGGATTACTCTCTGATCTAAAGAAAGCAGAAGCCTGTAACTAAAATCACCAAAGGACCTGTGTTTTCTCTAGCAGGCTTAATATGCTATGCTCTGTTTAGCTCAATTGATGGTAGTTTGGTTCAAACGAGACCTCATAACCACAGGAATACGCAGGCAGACATTCTTCATGGTCTCTTTTTTCATGTATACAAACAGCTTATTAATTAAGTATAAGACTTGAGCAAAACAAGCCTCATCCTACCACACTTCAAATCATGAATATGCTTTAAGTCTAGAGACAAAAAGCTCTCTTTCCTGTTTAGTGGGGTTTCTGTGGTTTAAAGTCATTTCATGGTAAGCATCAGTTTGTACTTAATGGTTCCATCACTATTTAAAAGCAGCATTTCAAGTTTACTTAAATAGACTACAAAAGCCTCACTTTCTTACCCATGTGAAAGGGATCGCTGTGCACAGTTGGGGAAGGACTTCTGGTTGCTTGAAGGAAAGGATCACCAGGGACAGTTGATGAACCAAGAAAGGAACCCAGGAGGTCTGGACCAGTTTGCTTAGGGCTACTTCCAAACGGATCAAAGGCAGTTGCTGTAAAAACATATTTGAGAAAACGAAATCATTAACTTGTACAATAAATGTGCTTCAGGGAAAAGACACCGGTGTGTGGGGAAGAGAAATCTCATACCTGCAGATACCAAATGGGAGAGAGCATGGGACTGTGGGAGAGCAACTGGAAAGTGTCAGTGCCTTAGGCACATGCTAGGGGCCCTAGAGAGCCACAGGAGCTGGTCATGGCAACACATTTTTTTGATCCCATTTGACTTTCCCAAAGAGAGGGGCTGAATTTAGAAGCAGTCAAAGCGAGTGTTTAGCTACCAAGACACTTCAGATGAACTTCCAGCTTGCACGTATTGATTGCCAAGATGTAAATGGATGGTGAGGGACAGCCTGGGGCTTGGAGTTAGCACCCTGGCACAATTCCTGCTTCCTCTCAAGAGCTGAACGCAGTCCAAGATGATTTTAGGTTGTCAAAGGTTATACAGGGCGAGGATAAAAGGATCATAGAATCAACATAGAATCCCAGACTGGTTTAGGATGGAAGGGACCTTAAAGCTCATCCAGTTCCAACCCCCCTGCCAGCAGCAGGGACACCTTCCACTAGACCAGGTTGCTCAAAGCCTCATCCAACCTGGCCTTCAACACTTCTAGGGAGGAGCAGCCACAGCTTCTCTGGCCAACCTGTTCCAGTGTCTGACCACCCTCACAGTGAAGAACTTCTTCCTTATATCTAACCTAAACCTACCCTCTTTAGGAAGAGCTGTAGAAAATAGCTGGTATCTTTCCTACACAGCATCAGTTGTCAGAAAAATCCAGTTAATTCTTAACCTCTGTTTTTGATCAATTTGTTTAGCCTACTGTCTTTCATGTAAGAAAACCAACAAACCCAACCAACCAAAGAAACCCCTATCAAGTCACTCACATTCTTACTTGTTAGCAATTTTAATGCAAAAAGCATCTTGAACAGAGATGTGATATATACTACTGTAAGAAAAATACAATCCTGAGATGCTATGCATCGTGTTAATGATGCTGCTCATTGCTTATGTTACTCATTACTTAAGGATAATTAATAAATTACTACTTTTCCCTTATCTCCCAAGCTCTCATTCTTGCTCTCCTGGCCTGGGACAGTTCAGCTGTGTGATACCTTTTCTCTCCCTTTCGAGCACCAATCTGGCCTCTGCAAAGCAGCATCGTACATGACCTGTTATTACACTGCTGAACAACAGCATCCTGAAATATTTTCCTGGTACTGTTGTTGCACCTCTGCCTTGTGAACTGTTTGTCCTCCCAACCTTCCTGCTCCTGGGTGAAAGCTCTCAGACTGAGCATACAACAGCCACAGCGAGATGAATCTTCTCCATATACAAGTGGCCCAATTTCTTCCACTGAAACTTGTACTCTTCTCCCCTCTCCAGCCTCCAAGTCCTCACTCTCCTCTTCCCTCCCTTCACAAGTCTCAGTACAAGGAGATCATAACTGTGCTCCTGTCCCTTTCCCTTTGAAAAACACAATAAACAAATCTGTTTTTTGAGTGTACTAGCAGCCAAACCTCCCCAAGCCTGCAGGGTTTTTTTTATTCTAGCTGAGAAAGGAGGACTCAAGAAGAATCTTCAGAAATTGGCCGTGTGGTCATCCTGTGGTAAGCACTACCAGTGTCAGCCCCACCTATCCCAGAGGGCCTCAGCAAATCTGAGCAACTTGGACTGGGCTCTTCACCTGCTCACTTACAAATGATTTTTCACTTGCCCTCCTCCATTCACTTAGCCCTCCAAAAGATCCCTCTTTCTAATACTTATTCAATCACTCCTTCTACCAGCCTGACCTCAACTTGTCTTTGAAGAAACAAAAGATCTTGTATTGCCTGTCTTGTCTGTGGAAAGATCAGAAACAGCAGAACTGTGTAGTCATCCAGGATCAGTATCATAGCTCCAAACCCCTAAAGTTTAAAAAAAAAAAGTTCTATTCAAACTGCGAGGGGTCTACTCAAAACCTAAAATGCCTTTTATTTATTTTTTTTTTTAAAGGAATACTTATTCTCCTTAGATGCATTATGGACACACAGTAAGAGCCAAAGTGATGATCTGCAGTGACTGTCAGCATAAGGAGCCAAACACTTGGATGTGCTCCAGTAGAGACTTTAAGGAACAAACTACATCATCTGGCTTGTGTTCTTGTCTGTGAAGATGCACCAGCTCCTGTCTCAGAGTAGAGAAGCTGCTTGGACTCTTGGGATCCCTCACAGCTCTTAATTTTCATGAAATAAGTGTACCCAAGAGGAATCCAGCAGCCCAGAGCAGATCACCCAGGTGGGATTTTCCAACTGTGTGTCCCACCAAGTCATTCACTAGGCATAGCCACTATTACCTTCTCCTACCCTCGGGGACGGGGATGGGGATGCTGAAGCTGCAGAACGCCGAGGAGTTGACTGCACAGATCCAGGTCCCCCGACCTGGAAGACCTCCTCAGCAGCAGGCTGTCCACTTTGACTCTGGGAGCTTGGCCCACCAACCCCAAATAAATCATTCAGCAAGTCTGAGTTAGAGGGGGCAGCAGTGGGCTGCGAGGGAAAGCTCTTGCTCATAGGGCTACCATCCAAGCCCAGCAGGTCCACATCTTCAGGCGGAGGTGGTGCTGGAGGCTCTTGCTGCTTTTTGCTGTGTTTTGGTGTCCCATGAGGCTTGTCACCACTGGCATTACTGTGCTGACTGGAAAGGGACAAGAGTTCGTCATCTGACTGTTCGCTTTCCTCATGCACCAACGCTGCTCGGTCCTCTGAGGTGGGGTGAGAGCTACTTTTGTCAGATTTCTGATCTAAACAATGATTGAAAATAAAATTAGGTAGCTGTTAGTTTGGTCATCACAAAGGAACCAGAAAAATCAGCTTATATACAGAACAAAAAGCTACTGAGAAAACCACAGCAGTATTTATCTGGATTTTAAGAGAGTCCTTTGCAAACATTAACTTAAAGCCTTTGCTGGCCTGTATCCTAAGGAGCCAGCTTTATTGCTCAGGAAACACAGAGGTTAATGGACTCTCAACCTGAAGAGCCAGCAAGTGTAACACCCACAGATAAAAACTGAATGAGATTCTGGGTCAGGACCAAGCATCCAGGGTGGTCTCCAGCCATAGCTCAAAATCCAGGCAAAAACAAGGCTCATTGGAAAGGAGCAGGGACATCAACTGCTCTCCTAGCTGTGCCCACAAGGATCTCTTACACCAGGTTCCTACCTAACAGCACTGATGCTGGAGGAGGAACACTGAATTCAGCGGTGCCATGAGATTTTCAAGGTGTTCAGCACTATTAAAGGGTGCCTCAGACAAACACTGTCAATGCCACGTTTCCATAGTACTTCAGATAACTTTGGTTTTGGCATCAAGGAAGCCTACAGCCAAGCTTTGCAGTAGAATGATGTCAATTGTCCTAAAGAGCACGAACAGGCAATGTTTGAAGAGGATCATAGAATCATAGAATGGTTTGGATTGGAAGGGACCTTAAAGATCATCCAGTTCCAACCCCCCTGCCAGCAGCAGGGACACCTTCCACTAGACCAGGTTGCTCAAAGCCTCATCCAACCTGGCCAAGAACACTTCCAGGGAGGAGCAGCAACAACTTCCTTGGGCAACCTGTTCCAGTGTCTGACCACCCTCGCAGTGAAGAACTTCTTCCTAATATCTAATCTAAACCTCCCCTCTTTCAGCTTAAACTCATTTCCCCTTGTTTTGTCATTAACTGCCCTTATGAAAAGTCCCTCCCCAGCTTTCTTGTAGCCCCTTCAGGTACTGGGAGGCCACTGTAAGATCACCCTGGAGCCTTCTCTTCTCCAGACTGAACAGCCCCAACTCTTGGATGTTGGAGGAAACTAATTCCTACTCAATTGCAACATCAGGGTGTGACCAGCAATACACCCTGATCTAATGGGAACGACATGTTCCAATGAGATCCTCCAGCCTCGCTCTGTGCTCCAGGGAGGGAGGGGGCAAAAAAAAAAGTAAAAAAAAAAAGTTGTTTATCCTGTTCAAAGCAGATTTTACTTTGAAGATCAAGTCTCCATACCTTGCCAGCTGAGGGATGAGAAGAATGCACTCTGCCCAACATTTCTTATGTTATCCTGGGGTGAATCAGTGGGACCTCTACCTGCAGCACAGAGCACCAAAGAAATAAATAAAATCAAGCAAAAACCAAACTTCAGCATGCAGGTGAGCATGTAAATTAAGGGAGCAACCCTGTGCAGCTCTTACCTGCCAAAGCAAGAGTGTCCTGATGCTCCTGATGAGAGGAGAAGAGAATGGTTGGATTGATGTCTTTTGTCGTGAAGTTCTCCCACGGGGGAGTTAATTCAGTTTGTCTATCAGTAGATTGTATTTCTATCTCCAGTATAACATGAAAGAGCTGAGGATATTTGTCTGGAGAGTCACAGGCATCCAGTTCAGGTCTAAATGGTGACAAGAGTTGTTCAGTTAAAAGGGAAAGGATATTTCTGCAAAGCTATATAAAGTCTTTCAATATACGCACGTACACAGACTTTTCACATTTGATCTGTGAAAATTCTCCTTCAGCCTTCAGTAAGGCTTTCATGCTTCACCTTTGATTAATGTTCAGCTTCAAATACTCACTTGGTGAATTTTAGTGTGGTTGTTCCCAGGGCTATGAATCCAGTATGAAATTGAATTTGGAATATTTGTGTGTTGGTCATCTGAAAAAAAACCCAAAAAAACTCCACAGAGCATCATGCTGAAAAAGTGCTTAAATTAATGAAATTAAAGTATTTGTTTACAGCACATGCAATTAAGTCTCCCTTGCTACCAGTTGCTACATGGACTAATCAGAACTGCTAAATAAGGTAGTTCATTCTGCTTGTTCCACAGAAAGTAGAGCTTTTCCCTTCACAAACCCAACTATTTGAATCTGCTTTAAACCCTGCTGCTGCCTCCATACAACAGAGTGCCTTCACAGCATTCAGGAAGGTGCCTCTTTCTCTCCTTCTCTTTATTCCTGGGATCTACTTGATGCTTTAGCAGTTAAATGAAACCACTGAATACACTGGAGCAACAGGTTTGTACCCCAGGAAAATGTAAGACCGTTTCACTCACAGTAGAGGCTTCAGTAAAGTGCCATCTATACAGCAAACAGCACCAATAACAACTTAAGAAGAGGAAAAATCCTTAGTGACTCTGCAACTTGAATACTAAGGTTGCAAACATCCCATCAGGAAAGTTATCAAGATCTCAGAGGATAAGGTGACTGAGAACACAGCCACCACACCCAGCTGGTTTGTAGGAATCCGGGAGCTCATCTGCCTGACCAGCCATGCAGCACCCATCTGCAAATGAGGTGGGACTCAAAGCAGGTGGGACAAAACTTGGTTCTTCCCTCATTTTTTGTGCTTTAAGTTATAATTTAAACAGGTTATTTCACCAAGAGAGCCAATTAACCCTCATCACTACAAAGGTTAATGGAGCAACTTCATGGGGGACAACTACTGATTCAGTTTTTGCAGATACAAGTTCTCTAGTCTGAACAGACTGCATTTCCTAATTCCCCTTCTGCAATCACAAGAGCCAGAGAACAGCATTTGAAAGTCAGTCTCAAAGCCTAGAGCAGCACGGACCAATGAATATCTTCCCTTTCAGCACTGCTACCCTGTTATGGGAAGGACACATCAGGGTATGCTCACTCCAGTAGCCCCCCTATTCTGTCTCCTCAGTTTCCATTGTCTCCCAGTTCTTTGATCTGCAAGTCCTCACTCCAGTAGCCCCCCTATTCTGTCTCCTAGTTCTTTGATCTGCAAGTACTAAGAGGCTTTTTATCTATGAAGATGGTGGCTGTCTGCCCAGCCTATGGCTTCAACGTTCTTTCCCATTCCCACGACAGACCAACCCACACAAATTGACTTTTTGCCCTAATGGCCAAATAAAGGTGAAGCCTGCCCTAGAGCAAGCAAAACACACACCATGCAGGAGCGGTGGCTCAGTAAGTCATTCTGATTTGAGCAGAAGAAAATCTTCTTCCATCTTCTTACAGTGCATATTGCCCTGAGTTGATTATTGATGGATGGCTTCTGCCTTCTACATCAGCTGGAAAGATCCTACACCCTATCAGTAGACATCATCTCCATAAAGAGACACCAGAGGCATCATGGACTTCCCCAGATGCAGTTCTTTGTTTTCACTTGGCACTGCTCAAATTTGTATTATATCAAGTAGGAAAACTTCCTACGTCACAAGTGCCACGTGCATTCTTAGACCCCATGTTTAGCCACCTCTTAGTTAACTACATTGCCTCTATCACGCAAGAGAAGTTAAACAAACTCCTACTTTTGCTTGAAGGCGTCCCCCAATGGTTGATCTCATATGGTACACAGAAACAACAACATCTCCATGGACAGTGGCTCCCAGTGGAATTAGGACTTTCCCTTCTTGCACACGGTATTCTCTTTGAGAGGAAGAGAAGGAAATCCACAGTTAAGCTCTCTTCCACAATGCTGTTACCACCCATCAACCATGTCAACATAAAAGCTATCCCCTCCTTCAGGCCAAGCCACCAGGAGGTCCGCTCAGTGCTCTGCTTAATGTTAGTTGAAACAGAAACATTTCATAGGGAAACCCAACACAGTGCTGAACTCTCTCTATGAGGGTATCCCACCGCGTGACAACTTCAGACTCACTCTGGCAGTTTGTTTCAACACCATGCACCAACTTTTCCATTCATGGATGCACTCCATTCATCAGGCAGTCTGGCAAGGACTGCAGCACAGATATTAGACACATCACAGCAAAACAAAAGCCTCCTTGCGTTAAGCTCCTAAAGATCGTAGAATCATAGACTGGTTTGGGTTGGGAGGGACCTTAAAGCTCATCCAGTTCCAACCCCCCTGCCAGCAGCAGGGACACCTTCCACTAGACCACATTGCTCAAAGCCTCATCCAACCTGGCCTTCAACACTTCCAGGGAGGGGGCATCCACAACTTCCTTGGGCAATAGAAGGTAGAAGATCACAGCAACTCACTTCATTCTTTCATACTCCTGGGAGGTGGTAAGGATTCTGGTTTCTCCGCTGAGGATGTCGCAGAAGGGCCGGCACCCGTTTCGTTGCTTGTTGAAACAGGGGACTGGACTGAGGGTGACGGACTTGATAGTAAGTGGTTTGCAGTGAGGAATGACAGGCTTGTCTGCTATTAAATCACAAATGTAGCCTATGTATCTGCAGAGAGAGAAAGCCATTACTGAAATCTCCATCCTAGGTGACTAATTTTCAGTCTGCACTTGAAGTCTACCTTGAAATCCGGTGAAAGCACAATTCTTTCACTGTTCCAGGACTGGAGTTCCCATGTACTCCAGCATCCTTGCAGCTGGCACAAAGTCTGTGCTTCTATTTCTGTTTAATTACAAGAACTGGAGCCCAAGAGGAAGGAAGTTTGCCTTTAGCTCTGAGCTGAAGATCATTTCTCCTCACCTTTTAGGAGGGAAGGTGCTGAGCAATGGTTTTTCTGGTTTACCAGCAGAAGTTTGCCTTCTATTTTACACGCACATAGCAGATTAATTACTCTGTCAGTCATTTACTGAAAGATCATTACTGTTACATACATAACACTACATCTTTGGTTTGCTCTGAAAGGGATTTTTTCCTCTGCTTAATGGACATTGTAAAAAAGACATTTTTACAGTGTCAGCTCCTGTAAGGATGAAGCTGACAAAGGGAGAAGGATTCCCCCAGGATTCAACCCAGTGTTCACTACAGGTTTGTCAGCTTTCCTGAACTGGTGAGCAAAGCTATTGTAATATTTGATTTTCTTCCTCCATTACTGTGATATCAATGTGGGTAAAATGCAAATGGCCATAAACATCAGTTAAGCCCTGTCAAAGCCAAGTACCACGGCTAATGCACGAGCACTGCTCGGACAGGTTTTAGCGTGAGGAACATAGCTCGCATGTGTTAGCCAGTATATTCTACCTCCTGTGAGATGGCCACAGCACAATTCCAGGTCTCTTTGTGTTCAGCAACTGCATCGCAGGGCCTGGGTTAGAGAAGAGGTGACAGAAACAGAACATCGCACTGACCAGAACGGCTGAGGCTGCGCGGCCATCCTGTTATGGAAAGAGGCAGGGGGAGAAAAATCTGTAAGTATCAGAGAACATCCTTTAAATCTCAGCAGAACACTCTCCACTCTTCTTTAAATCACATAGAATAATTTCTCCAGAAAGACTAGGATTGAGACCCCAAGATGATGAGGAATTTCTAGTGCTGTATCATTTGTTTAATACCTAGGACTTCAGTGAGCCTGGATCAAAGCTAAGATAATATCCAGTAAGCAGCCAAAGCTGAGGATGGTTTAGACTTGTTTTCCAAGCCCAGAAGTACATTTTGTCTACAAATGTTGGTGTTCCGCAGCTGCTCCCAAGCTGTACTATTATAATTATTTCAAACATAGGCCTGGAACTGGCCACAGGAGCCAGAGTACACCCATCCCACAGCTGCAGGCAGTCATCTCATACAACTTTAACCTAGAAGAGTTCACAAACAAAAAAAATCCAGCCTAAGGCTCCCTCACCCAAACAGCTCCACAGCCCTCAACGTACAGATTGCTCCTGAACAGATCTATCTTTTATTTAGGGTGATGATGAAGGGAAGTGGTTTTGCTGAGTCAGACTGATACAAAAATATCAAAAATATAGAAAGAGCAGGAGAAAAATCAAAAGCATCCCCAGTGCCCCAGGTCCCTGCTATACCCAGGAATATAGGAGGTGATGAGCCATACGGACCATACCCCAACTCTGGTGAGCCACATACAAAGAAAAAGCCTTTCCACCAGCTTCCACCAAAATCTGGGTCTGATGCCTGTTTAGTTTTGGATGCACGTTCACGGTGTAGTGATGGGTACGGGAGCCTGCTCAGTGCTACCAGAGTACCAGGTCACCCAGCTCCTGTCCTCTCTGCCAAGTGGGAGATAAGACCCCAAAAATCAAGGCTCATTTACAAGGAATGAGCGGGCAACCTACTGCCCCATCAGGTAGGCAGTCATCCTCAAAGTCTGAAACACAAATTAAAAATTATTCAGGCACCTTTTCGGCGCTCCAGCCATGCTGTAGGATTTGCCATACCATAGGATTTGCCACACCAGAGCTGACCCAGACCCCATTAACCTGCTGTGCCTGAGCACATGCTCAAGGTTAACAGGCTATTTACCCCACCAATGGCTCTGGAAAGACCTCTCAGATTCCTAGAAACAAAGTGGGCCTCTACAGATTTATTAGAAAAGGCTAAAAAGGACTCCCTGTCCTTTACAGCATTATTCAGATAGTCATTGCTCAAAGGACAGTAAAGGAATTTGATTCTTGAGCTAGATTCCCAGGACTGGAGGCATCAAGTGCATCTTCATCTCTGTTTGAATGGAATTTACACCCCGTAGCCGCTGGCTGTGCTACGCGAGGCAGAAATGCCAAACTTCTATGTAAGGTCTATGCAATTTGGGATCAGTCATTTCCCCCGTTCCTTCCAGTTTATGCTGATCAAGGCTAACAGCCTCCTGGATTTAATTTAGGCTCCAGAAGCAAAGCAGAACTCTCCTTTTGGGCATTATTGTCAATATTAAAGGTTGTATGGAGTAAATTCCAAGTTAGTCATACAGAATCACACTGCTCTCATGCTTCCTATCTACACATTGCCCAGCACTGAATAACCCTCATGGGGGATCCAACAACCACGTCAGCTGTGGTGCACAAAGAGGAGCAGAAGGTAGCTGGACTTCTTCAGCCAAGCCTGATGAGCAGTGACTTGAAGAGTAGAGACTTTAGCAATCTCAGTTTCACAGTTCAACAGAAATCCCAACTATGTGTTTTCTCCCCAACTTCCATCAGTAACCTTCAGATTACAGGCTGCATGTTCTCCTGAGACCACTTATGATAGAACTCAAAGCCATAGCAGGCTGACAGTCCTTAGAGTCAAGTTCTCAGGTGAAGTTCAAACCTTTTTGCTATTCATCACCTCTAGTAGCTCACTGCTA